GAGGGGAGGGGCGCAGAGGAGGAAACCGTGAGGGGCGGCCGGCCACGCAATCCGCACGCCAGGCCCCGGAGCCGGACCAGGGAGAGACAGGCGCGGGCCCGGCAGGCGACGGCCGCCGCAGAGCAGGCTCTGCGTTACCTGACTCGCTCTGGACCAGCAGCGGCTGAGTCAGCGCCTCGGACAGTCAGGTTGCCTGAGGAGAGCCTGCTGCCGGGCGGGCGTGAGTCATGCTGCTCTCTCCCTCCCTCCGCATCCTCCCCGGGACCCTCCTCCCTCAGAGAACCCAGGGCAGAGTCTCCACACCCAGGGCCAGACTCTGGGAGACAGGCCTGGAGAGGACCAGAGCCCGTCCCCGTGGCCCTGGGGCCTGGAGAGGACCAGAGCCCGTCCCTGTGCCCCTGGGGCCTGCATCCAGCTCAGCGGTAAAAGGGCCTCGGAACACAAGCCACCCCCACCCCCAGGTCTCACTCCTCAGCCACTTCAAACCGGTCTTTAGGTGGCGTCTGGCCCAAAAGGTGGCCAGGGACAGGCGCAGGCCTGGGGGTGAGGGGAGGAAACCACCCGACAAGCCTCCACAGGCTGCTTCTAAATATTCCCCCGGCTGCCGGCGTCAGGGAACTGTGCCCACAGGAAGCCTCCCCACCTCCCAGCGCCTTGAGTTACCTGAGGCCACAAGCTCCCGGAGCCCCAGCAAAGCCAGGTGTCATCCAAACCCAGGCACCCTGGGAGCAGAGAGCACTGGCTGAGGAGTCGGGAGGAAAGTGGGGGGCAGCGGGGGGCGGCTTCTGCAACCTGCCTGGTGCATCATCATCTCATCTGAGAATCGGAGGCAGGAGCCCGGCCAGGTGCCTCCCCACCCCGCCCCCAACGAGCCCTGGGCCTCGCTTCCTTCTGAGCCGAGCGGGGTCTCCCACACTCGCACCCGGGACCCTGCATACTGGGGCCACCTGCCTGACAAGGGGGTCCCTGACTCTAGCAGCAAAGATGAACTGAAATCGGCAAATAAATCAGTCAATTGTAAGTTAGGGTAAGATGAGACGGATAAATAAAGTCAATGTGATGGTCTCAGGGGTTATGTGTCCCCAGAGTGGCACAGGGGTGGGGAGGCAATAGAGGAGGGGGTGCTCGGGAGAGGGGTGGAGGGAGGGGGCACCCCGTCGGGCCAGACCCTTAGGGCCCTGTAGGAGTTAAGGTCTCTTTGGGGAAACGTGTGAAGGGCTGTGTGCAGACCCACAGGACATCAAGGGGCAGGGGG